AGATCAGTAGTGATTGTGACATGGAATCTCATTGTTACAGAACAAAGTAGGTTATTATTGAAGCTGGGAGAGATGAAAGTAACCCAGAATTTTTGTAACCCAGAGTTTTCCTTGCCACCAAAATGACGTGTGTGCCACTTTCACAGTTTCACATTAGATCATGGTAATCCATTAATATTTTGGCTGAAATGTCTCAGAGCAATATCATGGGTCTTTGGGGAATAATCCTTTAAAAAATAATTTGATGTAATCTTGCTAACATTATATAGTCTGTATATTTAGCCACGTGTGTGGTAGCTTTACCATTTCCCTCACAGCCCATAAATAATCTGAACGAGAAAGTCATATTGCTTTGTTTTCATTTAACAGTGTTTCCACCACCCCTCCCCCCATCTCCCCACCGCCATGACTTTCCTCTCCTATAATTTTAGGCCAACAGAGAAGTATGTGAAAACCCTGACAAGTAATTTTTTCATTTCTTTTTTAAAATATAATTTTTAGTATTTTCTAATAATTGAAAAAGTAGCCTTTTCTCTCAAAGAAATGAGATTCTGTTTATAATGAAGTATATATATAGAGAGATAAGTAGATCTAAACCTATAGATATCTAAATATAACATTATATTATAAACATTTATATATGTCTGCTTCCCTCTGCAGTGTTATTAATGCTATTCTTAGGCTGCTTCTCTTCTCACTTCGCCTGGTTTTCCTAGGCATCTCCTTTACGTCAGTAGTGTCAGACTGTCTACATGCTAAACGACTCCCAGGTCTAAATGTCTGAGATGACTGTTCTGCTATCCTCCAGATCCAAAGCCTCAGCTGCCTGCATGGCATCTCAACAAGTTTCCCAAAGGGACCACAATGTCTCCTACAAACCCAACTCTAGTTCCTGAATTCCCCTATACTTCTCCACATTGTCTATATTCAGGAGTACCGCAGAGCAATCAAGAATATAGGCTGTGAGAGCAGACTGCCTAGGTTCAAACCCAACTTTGTCATTTTCCAGTTGGTGACCTTGGGCTAATTAATCCACCTATCTGTGCCTCAGTTTCCTGGTCTTTAAAATTGGCATAATATCTGTCTCTTGGTGGCGAATGAGTATTGAATGGACAGAGCTCTCAGGACAGTCCTAGAACATGACACATGTTCTCTAAATCTTAAACTATTATTACTGTTTCCAATATGTGCATAATCTAGTCAGTCTCTCAAATTAGAAACTATTAATTTTCTTCCTTCTCTCTTCACAATTCATTTGATCACCTGGACAGACCATTACTACTCCCTAAAAGTCTATTCTATTTGTCCTTCCTTTTCCCCCTGACAACACTATTTTAGTTGAGGTCCTCATCATTTCTCACCCAGCATAGTGTTTCTTACCCAGGATAGTGTATCTCCCTGCTTCCATCTAATCCTCCCTTACTATTTACAACTTGTCTAATAGTATCACTTCCTTGATTACAAAACTTCAGTAACTCCTTATGGCCTATGAGATAGAATCAAAAATTTTCATAGTACATACAAGGTCCTTCATGGTCTGGCGTCTTCTGCTTATCTTTCCAACTTCATCCCCTGGGCTTTCCCTATGCAAGCCCTCCATCCTTACCTGGCTATTTGCAGTTCCCCAAACATACCACGCTATTCTCATGCCTTTGTTTATTTCCACATGGATTACCTCTTTTGCATGTGCGTTGCCTTTGCCTACTTACCTGCTTGGTGAATTTCTCATTTGCTAAGACTCAGCTTTAAGGCTTTCTCTTCAGGGGGCTCTTTCTGATCTCATTAGGTAGAACTTGATGCCTTTTTTTTTTGTATTTTTGTTTTATCTGTGGTACTTTCGTTATCTGTGTGATATATCATGCATCTTCCAGACGAATGCCTCTTAAATTTCAATGTATCTAAGAATTAGGCGTACAACTTGTAAAAATTCAAAATTATGGGTCCTATCATCAGAAATCCTGATCCCATCAGACATCCTGATCCACTAGATCAGGATGGACCCTAAGCCTCTATATATTTTGAAATTCGCAGGTATACCTGGTGCATACCCATATTTTAGACCATTGTTCTGTTTTTTATCTCTTTATCCTTGGAACTTAGCACAGTACATAAAGTATATATTATGTGTCCTTAACAAGTACTTGTTGGAAATAAAATATGGCACTCTGTTTCTGATGAGCTAACATACATGGTGATAGAACAGCTAATGGATCCGGCACATAGTGTGTGATGTTTGGATATAGGAATGAGTGATTAAATGAATGAATGAATGAATGAAAAGAGCTCAAAGAAGCTAGAGAAACTATTCACATAGCCCCTTGAACCTCTCAAATATTGCAAATGTCAGATATGTTTTCTGAATTTTGGATAATTGAGATTTGAAGTCAATGGTTGAGCTCTCTGAAGATACATTTGAAGACATGATACTATAGTTTGGATTTTTTATACTAGATGAACAGACACATCATTTTTTAAAGTTGACAACCTTTCATAGAGATCAGGTACCCTGACTTGAATTCTTCTCTAGACGTGATGTCATTTTACTTCTACTTTGGTACAGACTAGGATGGTTGCTTCAATAAAATATGTTTTCAAAAAATAATCATCTCAAAAATATGGATAAATACTAATTAAAAACTCAAAAATTCTGTACCATAACAGATGAAATAAGATATTTCTGAGTTTTAACCATTTGCTTTTGAAGTTTAACCATTTATCTAAATTACATATGCCATTAAAATTATATGTCTTTTAGAAGTGGCTTGCTTTAAGTTGGCTGTTTTTTCCCCCCTGGATCTCTTACAATAATATCCTTAAAGCATACTAGATTTAATATCTTTGCAAAAATATATCCTGTAATTTTTAAAGCTGTCATGGCTTTTTTATTTCTGTTTTCACTGTTTTCATCTCTGACAGGTTCTAGAATTAATTTGTACACAGAGGGTTGTAAAGCTTTTATATAGCATTGCATTATGCTAAGGTCTATGGAAAAGTGAAATTCACCAAAAATTGTTTTGTGGCTAAAATCTCAAGATGAGATTTACAATAAATGAATGATATGTAGTGATCAAAATACCAATGAAACTTGTTTGCCATTTGACAAACGCTTACAAAAAAGAGCAAGGTATTGTCACGATTCATGTTGTAGGGGTCTGTTAATTAGCAGGCAGGCTCAATATATAATACTTTGTATACACTTACTGTCAATTCCATTTATTTACTTAGCCAAGGACTTTATTTTAAATAGGGTGATGTATAATTTCCTCTAGGTGCTGTGGATATAATAATATAAGCTTAGAGTAAATACTGATATTTGAGCTACAAACAGGGTTTGGCAAGTATTTTCTGTAAAAAATCAGATAGTAAGTGTTTTAGGCTTTGCAGGCCATGCAGTTTCTGTCATGACTGCTCAGCATTGTCAATGTAGCAGGAAAGCAGTCATAAACAATACATAAAGGAAAGGGTGTGGCTGTGTTTCAATAAAATTTTATTCACAGAAGCTGCAGCTGGCTGGTCCTTGATCTACATAGTCATATTTCTGATTCCAAAAATGAGACGCTAGAATAGGTCATGATTGCATGTGACTTTGTGCATTGTCTACTTGTTTATCACTAGAAATCTTAAACTTTTCCCCTAGTATTTTCAGTGATATGTTTAGCTGTTACTCCTTGATTTGAAAGGTAAATTAAATGCAAATTTCTTGCCTCCTCTAGCCCCATCTGTACCGCTGACCACCACGGGCAAGTTGCTAAAGTTTTCTATTCTCAAATTTTCTGTATGGGCAGTTGAATTCCTTTGCTAGAATAATATAAACTAGAAAATTAACTCTCAGGTAAGTTCATGAAATACTAGCTTATCTGTAGGGCATCCTAGGATCCAGTGCCTTTATCCTGTCTCTTAGCTCTCCAGGGCCTTTTATGGCAGCATCTTCCTCTATTAAAAAATAAAAGCTAGCCAATTCGTTAATACATCTAATACCTAACATCTACTTTTGGATGTATTTGGATTTCCATTGGCTTTCTTAAAATAATTTTGGCCCTCCAAAGTGAAACTCATATAGATATATATACATATATATATTTATATTCTTATTCGAAATTTTCACATATATCCTTTGAAAACAGTATTTGGGGCACAGAGTAAATCTTAATGACAGCAATATTGGATACCTTATTAAGGTGATGTGAGAGTTTTGGGGTTAAGTTTTTAGTCACTCCTCAAATTACACTTCCCAGGGTGCTTGGCTCCTCTGTTTACTCAAAAGACCAGCCGTGAAGGCATGAGAAAACGTGAATTAATAGAGTTTCACCTGTACATTAGATATGGGGGAAATTACATTTTATTGCCAATCAGTGTGCTGAAATACTTAGTTGTAAAACTGGTCTGTGGCTTTAATTGACGAGTGACATTGATATAAAAACTGCTATATTTTTGTTCAAATATTTACAGTTAATTAGAGGAAGCAGCAAAGACATTTATAATAAATGTACAGATTTTAGTCTAAACACAGATTGCTCATATTGGCATCTCATTGGGAATGTGTTCTGTAATGAATCATTTAGTCTACTTATCTTTGTTCTTTATCTTTAGAACCATTATCAGGGTGACTGTGAAGAAAGCAGATGAGAGTTTTAAAAAATGTTACCATAGAACATCACATGCTAGGGAAGTAGTAGTTGTGAACGAGATTGGTTTGAGTTAATGTAGATGGGGAATGGGATTACTGCTTAAGTTAAAGCTTACCCTCACTAGTGTGTAATGTATATATAGTATAATTAAAACTCATGAAAGAGGTTTCCAAAGTGGTTTGGGCATTTGATTCAGATTCAGATTTGATTTGATTTTAATTCATTTTGCAGTTCAGATCATCACTTATGAAGTGTATTTGCTGGCCCTGCAATGTATCAGGGACAGCCAAGGTGGTCATTCATTTTTTTCATGCCGTGTAATAAGTTATCATCAATTTAGCAACTTAAAAGCAACAAAAATGTGTTACTCACAGTTTCCATGGATCTGGAGTCAGGCTTCCTTTTCTCAGGGTCCTTTGCTCAGAATCTCACCAACTGTGTCAAGATGTTGGTCACACTTCTGTGTTCTCTGAAGCTTTGAGTACTCTTCCAGGTCTAGTAAGGTTACTGGCAGAATTCAGTTCCTTGTGGCTATAGAACTGAGGTCCCTTTTGTCTTGCTGGCTGACAGCCAGGGGTTGCCCTCAGCTCCTAGCGGCCACTTCACAATACAGCAGTTTAGGTCTTCAAAGCCAGCTGGAGAAGACTCTCCCCAATCTGCTGTGAGGAAGTCTGTGTAGTGTGTTGTGAGCAAGGAAGTGACTATCCCACCACCTTTGTCAGATTGGAACCTCTGCAGGGAAAGCCCATTCTATCATATTCACAGGCCTCCCCACACTGAAGGGAAAGGGATTATACAGGCTGTGGACACCAGGGAGCAGGAATTTGAGGGGCCATCTTAGAATTGACTTCTATAGTTAATGCAATTTAGGTGTCTCCTTCCGTGGCTGTGCAGTTTGATGGTTCCAGCCGTCTTGTTTGTAGGTTGCTATCTTGGAATATGATTAAAATCCTAAACTTGGGTGCCAGTCTTTTTGTCTTTGTTACAGGCTCCATATGGGGCTCAAATTTAAACATTTTAAAGGATCAGGGTATTAGGAGGCAAAAAAATCTGAATTATTCCTACCTTGGTTTCCGTCTCTTTTGTTAGCCATTAGAAAGCAAAACAGTCATACCATAATGATTGGTTTCACATGTATAATGTATATTTGAAGGAATTTTATACTCAAAGGGATTAGGTAGACAAGAATTCAACAGTCTTGGCAAAAACCTTTCTTAGAATATAGGAATGTGTGAAGCCTCATTTTCCACAAATTATATGTTCAATATTTCCTATTTTTTCCTTCTTCTTACCTTGACCTCTGCAAAATGCCTTCAATATCAGCTCAACATCTCCTCATATGTGTCGTTTTATTCTAATAATGCAGTCCTTTCTTATTTTTCTAATTCCCCTTTTATATACACTGCATGATATGAATAGAACTCTAATGAGCTACTATTTTTCTTTAAAGTAAAAGGAAATTTTGATTTCACTACTAATTATTTGTATGTTTATATTCCTAATGCCATCTGTTTTGTTTCTATTCATTTTCACTGAGCATATTAACTATAAAATTATGCAAAATTATACTTTCTATTTACAAAACATAGCCACCTGGCACCTAACTTGTGGTAATTCTCATCTTCTCTGTAAGTCATACAACTCATCATATTTGCACGTTAATCAACTTTTCTTTATGTATTGAGAAAGAAAACTTCTCTAAGGATATCCATTAAGGTTCTCACTAATAAACCATGGGAAGAACAAAATTATCACAGAATGTATTTACCATGGTTACACTTTCCACTTTTATAGAAACAATTCTAGTATTTAATATTATTATAAGTGGTACATCATACTTCAAGTTAATTTTTTCAATATTCTAAGTGATCTAATTTTTGTTAGCTTTCTTTATTGTTTCACTTATTTAAAAAATTGCTCTAGTGGGAATTTGGGGCAATATCTACCAAATTTTAGTTACAGAATTGAATAAGTTGTTTGCCATAATTGCATGGAGCCCCATTCTTTTGGTTTCTAGTAAGGATCCTATGTAATTTCATTTTGAGGAAGTTAATTTATGTTAGTTAAAAAATTCTTAATTAGTATATAAATATTTGGCAGCTGTCTTGTCTTTTATAGCTGAAATGGAACTTACATTTCGTCTAATTCTATTCCTTTATTTCATAAATGAGGAAATGAATATCAAGGGAGTTAACACTGAGGAGAAATGTTCAAAAGTTGAGAATAGTTCCCTGGCCTTAGGTTTCTGTTGGTATAAAAACTTCATTTTGGTGCATGAGTGTGCTGTACTTTTTGATTGTATTACCCTAAACCCTGCAAGCTTTTTTCTCTTATGAAAGGTACACCATAATTAAAATTAATTTTTTCCAGTATTCTAGGTGTGCTTAATTTTCATTAGCTCCAATTTTCATTAGCTGCTCTAATTCTTTCATTTCATAGAAAGAAGCTCCCATAGTAGCTGCTAGTATGAAACAGCTGAGTCCTGGGCATGCACCTAGTTGACCTCTGAGGGAGGTCACAGTGTCAGGTATCTCCTGGTGGCTGAGTGACAAAGAGTGACAAGATGAGCACACATCACCAATACAGCAAAACAGCAGCACCACAACCACCAAAAATTCAAAGGTTTCCTTTGGCAGCGTTGTTATGTCAGATTCCAAGAGGATTAAAATGTATTTTTTATCAAAAAGGAATATTTCTTTCCTCATTAAACTTTACTTAGTATTTTTTCAAGCATGATTTTCAGATTCGAGAGATAAAAATATACTTTCTTAATTTTTTTGGAAGTGTAATTAAAAAATCTTTGATTTTAGAAAGTCAAGCACAGATAATTCATTCAAAGGCCTCTAATTACTCATTCTCTTTGGAGAGGGGATTAAAAAAAAACAAAAAACCTCCTAAAAACAAAGACTGTTCCTAATGAGGCTTCAGAATCCTGCAGACCTTCCTGGCAATTGAGAGCTTTATTTCCTCTTTATGGGAAAGTATTTTGGCTCACTGCCTCTTCATCACCCCTCAGAGAGAGAACTGCAAAACAGACTGAAGGACCTATTTTTCGTGACTTTGAAACTTTGTTTTATCTATTGCCCTTACACTGAGTTTGTCAAACCTCTGTGCGAACTTTAATGGGTGGGAGCTTTTCCTCTCATTTCACTCTCCACCTTCATTACCACACACAGATATCTGAGGATTGGACGGAGGGACGTCAGTATCACAGAGCCTGAGCCTGCTGTCCTGGGCATGGTTTATTGTGTGTTTGGCCTACTGAGCTTGTCAGTTGAACTGGCCAGGATTTAATTTAGGTTCATTAATCTTCTTGTATCCATACAGTGATTACTGTAATGGCATATTGTTGGTTAAGGAATGTGGATATGTTTTATTTCCTTCAATGGTAATGATGGATTTCCAAGACCACATGCCCATATCCATCTTCCCTTTATCAGATGACTGGTTGAAAATAGGGAAGTATATATTCTGTCTGGAAAAGAAGGATTATTTGGGACCAAGCTCATGTCTTTGGTATCCTTAGCAAGGGTTACTAGGCAGCAGAGCTAACCAGCCACAAAGCCTATGTTGACAGTGTTCCTGTATCTAATTGGTCTAATCAGTCCATGTGAGACTTTTTTCCCCTTTGGCAAACTCCACACAAACAATGGAATATAAATAAAGGATGGAGCTAGAAGTTTTCTTTTCCCTGCTACCGTGCCCTGCAGAAATATTTGCCAAAAGAACACAATGAAGGAGTAAAATTTAACAATTGTTATTAATGAAGCTAAGTATATCTAGAATCACTCCCTGGATCCAAACTTATCCACTTTCTAGAACTAGTATTTTTCCCGATATCTGGTAACATTTCCTAGTTTTTAAATAGAGGATTATTGTAGATAGTAGCCATATATTTTGTGATGAACCTTCAAAAAGAATAGCTGAGAGTTAAGGCCCAGTATATAAGAGAAATCTTGTACCCTATGCATAGAATGCATTTCTCTGGCTTGGGGTTTTCAATCTGATGTGCCTGAGGCTTCCTGCCCAAGCTCATTTCCACTGCATGCCCAATTTGAAGATGCAAAAATAGTGGAATAGAGTTTGGAATGATCCTGGTATTTTGATTGGATTTAAGTTAGGAATGAATCCAAATTACTTCTCATTTTTGAATTCCCATTGCATCTTACTTGGTGGTGGAGAGCAAGTGACATTATTTTTAGGCTTTAGTTCAGTTTTCTTTAGTTACTGTTTTGTCTGTATTAAATGACTTTTAGATTTTAAAAATGGGTGTTAATTGCACTCATAATTTAAAGTTTTTTTTCCCCATACTGTTGAACTAGTTTAAAGGAAAGATAAATGGCAAAGTATTATCTTTGGCTATAGCCTACAATATTTGTCAGTAAAGACCTAAACAAGTGTTAGTATTTGCGGCTGCTGATTGTCTAGGGAGGAAGCCATAGGATGTTACTAGGGTGTGTGTGTGTGTGTGTATTTATGTGACAGTAGTCAGGGGGCTGTTCTGGGAGTACTGGCCTCCCTTGTTGGAGGCATTGAGTCAAAGGATGGAGTAGAGAGGAAATACCAGGTAAGAGACCACTGTTGGTCTGTGGAAGGAAAGATTTTATCTGAAAGTTAAAATAATGGCAAATGGTAGGATCTCCTAATCCTAACAGCCAAGTCAGAGGGGAAGGCAGGTAAGTGGGAAAATAGGTTGACATGGAAATACAGCATTTCAGAGAGTCCAAGATGGTATCAGTAATGTGCTGTATTTAACTATTAGATCCTTCTCTTTGGTGGAGCTATAAAATAATGGCCCTTTCAGAAGCCATCACATCATAACAGTAAGATTAATGCAATAATACTATATTTCAAAACACGTATTCTTTCTGTGGTATCATTTTTTAGATGCTATAGCTTTTGGACATATGAAATAGTCATTCAGTTTAACCTGAGTGTTCTTTTTACTTTCTGAGAAAAAAATACTAAATAATTCTAATTCTAATACTTTTGTGCTATTAGAAAATGATATGAAACCATATTTCCTAGTAGCGAGCTATTAAGTTTATTCATAAAATGGAATTTGTTGTTTTTGTTAACTTTAAGTCTTTGTTTTAATCCAAAAACAGTTGGATAAGACTGCTAATGAGAAAACCTCTCCTCTAAGGTCTAAGTTTTTACTCCTAGGCATCAGATATAATTCACTGATTCTTACTTTGGATACCATAGAACAAAATTTAATTATCTCTTTTTCCAAAGCTGATCAAACCCAACAGTTTAGAAGGAGGGTTGTTCTTTTAGAGGTTGGGACTATGACAGCAGAAGTTTTAGTCTAATGTCAAGAGGAAAGTGGAGGAAATTAGAAAGTAGAGACATAGTTGTTGAACTAACTAATGAAATAAAGCTACTATCCATCAATCAACCAGCCATCAACAAAAGTTTGAATTATCATCATTAGGTTATATACTTAAAGGAAATAGGGATAAAGGATACTATATTTTAGAAAACTTTCATCAAAAATGGTTAAAACATAAAATCATTTCTTTTATTACCTGGGGAGTTGAGCTTTGTTTCTGGAAATTTTATTTATTTATGTAGAACAGTTCATTCTCCAGCTTTATAGCAAAATGTGTTATTTGTAGAGAGCTGGGCCAATTTGGGGACCTGTAAAACAGAGAAAAGTTTTTGTTAAAACCTATGACCCCTTTGGTGAGGATGGAGCGTGTGCGATTTCCCACAAATAATTAAGATAAAGAGTCATTGAGCTGCATCCCATTCCCCTGTGTCCTTCTGCCAGGGATGAGCCAGAGGATCATGGCAAGTAGGGGCCCTGTGGATGCAGGGACTGCCTGTGAGACAGGGAGGGAGAATGCTTCTTAGGA